GCAGAAAGCAAGGGTGAGGTGGGCAATCTTCCTGCAGAGCTACCAGAGAAAGCCTTTAGACCCAACACTCCTGTTCACAAACACAGACAGGGGCATCCATTTTCTTGAAACAATTCTTTATAAAAATAGAAATAATTAAAAGGGAAAAATTCTGGTTTAGTTACTTCATTCAATTTAAATAACTTTTAAAACAAACAAAAACTGTAAAAGTGGAACTCAAATTATTGTTTAATAATCTGGATCTGTGGCTCAGATAGATTGAGCAAAACAACCACGGATGATGCCCCAGCCATGAATGAAGCCCCAGCAGTGAATGATGTCCCAGCCATGGATGAAGCCCCAGCAGTGGATGATGCCCCCCACAGTGGATGATGCCCCAGCCACGGACGAAGTCCCAGCAGTGGACGACGCCCCAGCCATGGACGAAGTCCCAGCAGTGAATGATGCCCCAGCTGTAGACGAAGTCCCAGCAGTGGACGACACCCCAGCCATGGACGAAGTCCCAGCAGTGGACGACGCCCCAGCCATGGACGAAGTTGCAGCAGTGGACGATGCCCCAGCCATGGACGAAGTCGCAGCAGTGGATGATGCCCCAGCCATGGACAAAGTCCCAGCAGTGGATGATGCCCCAGCCATGGACGAAGTCCAGCAGTGGATGATGCCCCGGCAGTGGATGCCCCAGCCGTGGATGAAGTCCAGTAGTGGATGATGCCCCGGCAGTGGATGCCCCAGCCGTGGACGAAGTCCAGTAGTGGATGATGCCCTGGCAGTGGATGCCCCAGCCGTGGACGAAGTCCAGTAGTGGATGATGTCCCGGCAGTGGATGCCCCAGCCGTGGATGAAGTCCAGTAGTGGATGATGCCCCGGCAGTGGATGCCCCAGCCGTGGATGAAGTCCAGTAGTGGATGATGCCCCAGCAGTGGATGATGCCCCAGCAGTGGATGAAGTCCAGTAGTGAATGATGCCCCCACAGTGGATGATGCCCCCAGCAGTGGATGATGCCCCAGCCATGGACGAAGTCCCAGCAGTGGATGATGCCCCAGCCACGGATGAAGTCCCAGCAGTGGACGATGCCCCAGCCACGGACAAAGTCGCAGCAGTGGACGACGCCCCAGCCATGGACAAAGTCGCAGCAGTGGATGATGCCTCAGCCATGGACGAAGTCCCAGCAGTAGATGATGCCCCGGCAGTGGATGCCCCAGCCGTGGACGAAGTCCAGTAGTGGATGATGCCCTGGCAGTGGATGCCCCAGCCGTGGATGAAGTCCAGTAGTGGATGATGCCCTGGCAGTGGATGCCCCAGCCGTGGATGAAGTCCAGTAGTGGATGATGCCCTGGCAGTGGATGCCCCAGCCGTGGATGAAGTCCAGTAGTGGATGATGCCCTGGCAGTGGATGCCCCAGCCGTGGATGAAGTCCAGTAGTGAATGATGCCCCCACAGTGGATGATGCCCCCAGCAGTGGATGATGCCCCAGCCATGGATGAAGTCCCAGCAGTGGACGATGCCCAAGCCATAAACAAAGTCCCAGCAGTGGATGATGCCCCCCACAGTGGATGACGCCCCAGCCATGGACGAAGTCCCAGCAGTGGATGATGCCCCAGCCATGGACGAAGTCCCAGCAGTGAATGATGCCCCAGCTGTAGACGAAGTCCCAGCAGTGGACGACACCCCAGCCATGGACGAAGTCCCAGCAGTGGACGACGCCCCAGCCATGGACGAAGTTGCAGCAGTGGACGATGCCCCAGCCATGGACGAAGTCGCAGCAGTGGATGATGCCCCAGCCATGGACAAAGTCCCAGCAGTGGATGATGCCCCAGCCATGGACGAAGTCCAGCAGTGGATGATGCCCCGGCAGTGGATGCCCCAGCCGTGGATGAAGTCCAGTAGTGGATGATGCCCCGGCAGTGGATGCCCCAGCCGTGGACGAAGTCCAGTAGTGGATGATGCCCTGGCAGTGGATGCCCCAGCCGTGGACGAAGTCCAGTAGTGGATGATGTCCCGGCAGTGGATGATGCCCCAGCCATGGACGAAGTCCCAGCAGTGGATGATGCCCCAGCCACGGATGAAGTCCCAGCAGTGGACGATGCCCCAGCCACGGACAAAGTCGCAGCAGTGGACGACGCCCCAGCCATGGACAAAGTCGCAGCAGTGGATGATGCCTCAGCCATGGACGAAGTCCCAGCAGTGGATGATGCCCCAGCCATGGACGAAGTCCAGCAGTGGATGATGCCCCGGCAGTGGATGCCCCAGCCGTGGACGAAGTCCAGTAGTGGATGATGCCCTGGCAGTGGATGCCCCAGCCATGGATGAAGTCCAGTAGTGGATGATGCCCCGGCAGTGGATGCCCCAGCCGTGGATGAAGTCCAGTAGTCAATGATGCCCCCACAGTGGATGATGCCCCCAGCCATGGATGAAGTCCCAGCAGTGGACGATGCCCAAGCCATAAACAAAGTCCCAGCAGTGGATGATGCCCCAGCCGTGGACGAAGTCCCAGCAGTGGATGATGCCCCAGCCATGGACGAAGTCCCAGCAGTGGATGATGCCTCCAGCAGTGGATGATGCCCTAGCCATGGATGGAGTCCCAGCCGTGGATGAAGTCCCAGCAGTGGATGATTCCCCCACCGTGGATGATGCCCCAGCCATGGATGAAGTCCCAGCAGTGGATGATGCCCCAGCCATGGACAAAGTCCCAGCAGTGGATGATGCCCCAGCCACGGATGAAGTCCCAGCAGTGGACGATGCCCCAGCCATGGACGAAGTCGCAGCAGTGGACGATGCCCCAGCCATGGACGAAGTCGCAGCAGTGGATGATGCCTCAGCCATGGACGAAGTCCCAGCAGTGGATGATGCCCCAGCCATGGACGAAGTCCAGTAGTGGATGATGCCCCGGCAGTGGATGCCCCAGCCGTGGACGAAGTCCAGTAGTGGATGATGCCCCGGCAGTGGATGCCCCAGCCGTGGATGAAGTCCAGTAGTGAATGATGCCCCCACAGTGGATGATGCCCCAGCAGTGGATGATGCCCCAGCCATGGACGAAGTCCCAGCAGTGGATGATGCCCCAGCCATGGATGAAGTCCCAGCAGTGGATGATGCCCAAGCCATGGACGAAGTCCCAGCAGTGGATGATGCCCCAGCCACGGATGAAGTCCCAGCAGTGGACGATGCCCCAGCCATGGACGAAGTCGCAGCAGTGGACGATGCCCCAGCCATGGACAAAGTCGCAGCAGTGGATGATGCCTCAGCCATGGACGAAGTCCCAGCAGTGGATGATGCCCCAGCCATGGACGAAGTCCAGCAGTGGATGATGCCCCAGCAGTGGATGCCCCAGCCGTGGACGAAGTCCAGTAGTGGATGATGCCCCGGCAGTGGATGCCCCAGCCGTGGATGAAGTCCAGTAGTGGATGATGGCCCCACAGTGGATGATGCCCCAGCCACGGATGAAGTCCCAGCAGTGGATGATGCCCCAGCCATGGACAAAGTCCCAGCAGATGATGACCAAGCCGTAAACAAAGTCCCAGCAGTGGATGATGCCCCAGCCGTGAACAAAGTCCCAGCAGTGGACGATGCCCCAGCCGTGGACGATGCCCCAACCGTGGATGAAGTCCCAACAGTGGACAATGCCCCAGACGTTGACGAAGTCCCAGCAGTGGTTGATGCCCCAGCCATGGACGAAGTCCCAGCAGTGGATGATGCCACAGCTGTGGACGAAGTCCAGCAGTGGATGCCCCCACAGTGGATGCTTCCAGAAGTGGATGATGTCCCCGCAATGGATGATGCCCCCAACAGTGGACGATGCCCCAGCCATGAATGAAGTCCCAGCAGTGGATAATGCCCCCGCAGTGGACGATGCCCCAGCCGTGGACGATACCCCAGCAGTGGAAGATGCCCCAGCCACGGATGAATTCCCAGCAGTGGATGATGCCCCAGCCGTGGATGAAGTCCCAGAAGTGGACAATGCCCCAGCCGTGGATGATGCCCCACCCGTGAATGAAGTCCGAACAGTGGTTGATGCCCCAGCGATGGACGAAGTCCCAGCAGTGGATGCCCCAGCCGTGGATGATGTCCCAGCAGTGGTGAATGAAGTCTCAGCAGTGGACGATGCCCCAGCCGTGGATGAAGTCCCAGCAGTCAACGATGCCCCAACCGTGGACGAAGTCCCAGCAGTGGACGCCCCAGCCGTGGACGATGTCCCAGCAGTGGTGAATGAAGTCTCAGCAGTGGACGATGCCCCAGCCGTAGATGAAGTCCCAGCAGTGGTTGATGCCCCAGCCATGAATGATGTCCCAGCAGTGGATGATGCCCCAGCAGTGGACGATGCCCCAGCCATGGATGAAGTCCCAGCAGTGGATGATGCCCCAGCCGTGGACAAAGTCCCAGCAGTGGATGACGCCCCAGCCATGGACAAAGTCCCAGCAGTGGATGATGCCCCAGCCGTGGACGAAGTCCCAGCAGTGGACAATGCCCCAGCCATGGACAAAGTCCCAGCAGTGGACGATGCCCCAGCCGTGGATGAAGTCCCAGCAGTGGATGATGCCCCAGCCGTGGACGAAGTCCCAGCAGTGGACGATGCCCCAGCCGTGGACGATGCCCCAGCCGTGGACGAAGTCCCAGCAGTGGATGATGCCCCAGCCATGGACGAAGTCCCAGCAGTGGACGATGCCCCAGCCATAAGCAAAGTCCCAGCAGTGGACGATGCCCCAGCAGTGGACGATGCCCCAGCAGTGGATGCCCCAGCCGTGGACGATGTCACAGCAGTGGTGGACGAAGTCTCAGCAGTGGACGATGCCCCAGCAGTGGACGATACTCCAGCCGTGGATGAAGTCCCAGCAGTGGTTGATGTCCCAGCCATGAACGAAGTCCCAGCAGTGGACGATGCCCCAGAAGTGGACGATGCCCCAGCCATGGACAAAGTCCCAGCAGTGGATGACGCCCCCAGCAGTGGATGATGACTCAGCCCTGGATGATGATCCAGCTGTGGATGATGCCCAGCTGTGGATGATGTCCCTGATGCCCCAGCGGTGGATGATGACTCAGCCGTGGATGATGATCCAGCTGTGAATGACGCCCCAGCCCTAGATGAAAGCCAACAGTTGTTTTCAAGAAAAGTCTAATACATAAGTCATTAGTGAGATTTATCAAGAAAAAAGGGAAATCACAAAATTAATATCAGAAATTAATAGAAAGACATAACCACAGAGAGCAGAGATTACAAAACAATGAGTAAACATTATAAATACATAACTTGTTTTAAAGCAACGTTTTGTTTCACTAGGGCTGGTGGCCATACGCTGCATAGTCAGCCAATAGTGAGTCACCTCATGGCGGAGGCTTGGGTTGAGGCTGAGGGTCTTTAACCCACATGCACAAGAGTTGCCACGACGGGGTGGAAACCAGGCTACCAACCAAGTGCTGCACAGAGTTCCTACCTGTCCCTCTCACAATTTTCAGCTGGCAGGTTTGAGCATTTTCGGGCTTGGGAAGATATTACTACATCTACTAAAAGATATCAGGGTTCCTTATATGCTTTGGCCAGCTGCTGAGCAAATTAACTTCACAACTAAAGTGGGCCTCACTGGTCCCCCACTCCTCTCAGAATTTGTGAGCTTGCGGCCTGCTGGAGGGTGGACGGTGGGAGCAGGGGGAGGATCAGGAAAATAACTGATATTAGGCTGAATACGTGGATGATGAAATAACCTGTACAACAAATGCTCATGACACACGTTTACATATGTACCGAACCTGCTCATCCTGCACAGCTTCCCCAAACAAAAAAGGATCTGTGAGCCAACCCGAACACCTGGGGATCTTTGTGCTTTCACACTGATGGCTACGCCGGTCTGTGGGGAGATGTGCTTGTAAGTGCCCTGGGTCGTGCAGCCACGGAGGCCACTTTATAACGATGGGCAGGCAGTGTCTGGGGCCTCCTTAGGGCTTCTACATAAATGCTGGACTCCCTGCGTGGTGGCGAACACCCTGTGACTAAGAGCATGCCAGTAGTTGCCAGTGTCAGCACAGGCCCACACCACTGGGTTTGTGTTTTCACTTTTTCATTCAGAAACTCAGGAGCTGGGGCCACCCCTTGGCCCTTCAGGTTCTCCACCTGAGCAGTGAGGATAATAAACCAGACCCAGGGATGGCTCTGGTGAGGGTGCAGGAGTCACTGTACAGACAGTAGAGTGGGGCTGGATTTTATTTTTTAAAAGTGGACACTGGCGACTGGGCTGTGTAAATGGGAAATCTCTCCTGAGAAAACACACAGCCTCGTCTGCGCAGAAGCACACACATTCACACACATGATGCAGCCTCACACAAGACACCGCCAATCCTCAAGCACCCAACTCAGTGCCACCCAGAAGGGAGCACAGCTGCTGCCTCAAAATTTGGCCATGATTTTTCCCTGGGGAACTCAGGTTTTTAAAAAACACTTTCACTATGCTTATTCCTATCACAATCCCAGAATCAGGGTGGCACTGCACACTGAAACCAGCTTTTTTTCCTTGACAATAATTCCAGAATACGTACCAGTCACACTTCAGATGGAACATCGGCACTACCTGCAACACAGAAACAAAGCAGTATGAGGGCATGGTGTGCTGTGGATTGTTCGCATGAGGTTCTGCTTCTCTCAATGAATACTGAAAACCTGATCAGAAACTTAGTCAACTGCTACAGTACTCAAAACGGCATGGTACTAATACCGAAACCGAGATGTAGACCAATGAACAGAACGGAGCTTCACTGGATGGGACAGAATGGGCGGCCACAGAAGCCTGGGATAGATTTTATGTCCCCGCAACACAACAGGGAGCGCACTTCATGGCATGCTGATGCTTAATGAATGGTACAACTGAGGACAGGGTGACTGTTTGATTGTATCTGTTCTTATTCCAAGAGGCTCGACAACATGCTCCATGGAAGCATGATCCTTCAAATGCACTCATCTATCCTTTCAGTCATTTTTCACTCCCTCAGCCAAGAGCTTCTCCAACTGGGTTTCTGCAACACCAATCTCAAACCCATAAAGCAATGGGTCACAGCAACCCCGCTAAGCTCACATGCCCAGCTGCGGAAGCAAACTTCACTTTACAGCAAGTCTACTTCGTCACTACAGGCAGTGCAGCACGTTCGTTTACAGATTAGCCTGTGGTGTCAGAGAGATCCAGATGTGGGCGTGTCTCGTGAATAATTTACTTAACTGAGACTCACATTCCTCATCTGTATAATGAATAGAACCAAACTAATTATGCCTCAAAGTGACTGTGATGCTTCAAGGAGGCAACATAGAGAAGTGACCGCGTAGTATCCGTGACTTAAATGTATATCAGTTATCCTTCACATTTTAATAACGTAAGCAGCTGTTATCAAGTACAGTCATGTGGCACAGTGACATTTTGATTAATGATTACTTACGTGGCTGGGGTCAGATGGGCGTACACAAACCTACTGGCCTGCATCATTAGATTAAAACAAAATTTTTGGTTAGAAATTTTAAGTAAGATGCTATACAAATGAAAGACTAACCTTAGTGATGTAATTTTTAGGGAAACATAAAACTAAGAGTTTACAAGGATTTAAAGAAATGTCTCCTCACATATGCTGCTACAGGAGCATGAATTAGCATCACCATTCTGAAAAGTATTTGGCACTATTCGTGACACTAAAAGATATGTTCCCTTCTAACAATCTACTTCACAGAAATGAGTGCCAGTATTATTCCAAAACCATTGACAAAAATACTTAAAGCAACATTACTCCTCACAGCCATAATTATTTAAAAACAAAAGAAAATTCTATGTCAATCAACAGTAGAGTGGATAAACTGTAATACGTGACTACAGTGGAACAGTATGCAATGAGGAAATGGAAGACCTACAGTTACACTTGAACATGAATGAATTTCAAATCATAACGTGAGCGAAGAAGCCAGACACCGAGAATCACATATTGACTTATTCTGTGTATGACAGTCCAAACCTGAAGAGGTCTAAACAAGTCATTAGCAGTCAGAGCAGTTCCCTTAAGGAAGAAAATGATTAGAGGAGGAGGGAAATTTCAGGAAGGAACCAGGGATGTCTGCACTTGTGCCATCTCACCCTCTCAGATGTCAGGGTCCCAAAAGAGGGTGCTGGCAATATTTAGGTGGTTCAAAGGTCTCATGAAGAAAAGCAAATGACAGCAGCAAACTCAGTTCTTTAATGAAGTGCCCCAGACTGGATAGAGAATGCCCACTTAGTTTTGCATCTTATTATGTAAAATGAGGATCCTCCAAAGACAAAAATGTCATCCATAGCATGGACAGAATTATGTGCCATCAGCACATTTTATCATATGAAGTTTCCTGTACAACTTTTAGCAATCTGTGAATAAAAGGTCCAGCACTTAACTTATAAATATCAACATAGAGAACAACGGAAGCCTAATTTTTGAAGACAGGAGATAGTATAATGCCGTCTTCTGTGGGAAGGAACTCTTGGTTTCCCTAAAAATTAGAGAACTGGAAAGAAAGAAGCCTCATCTCAGAATCTGTGGTAGGGGTGGGAAGTGGTGGCTACAAATGTGCCACAGCCTCCCGAATAGCTGGGACTATAGGCGCATGCTAATTTTTAGTAGAGACGGAGTTTCACTATGTTGGCCAGGATTGTCTTGATCCACCTACCTCAGCCTCCCAAAGTGTTCAGATTACAGGCGTGAGCCACTGCACCCAGCCTAGGGTATCATTTTCTACCTGCAGAAATTGTCCTACTGCAGCTTCCCTCATGGATGGTGTCCACTGGCCAATCTTTAGAGACACAAATCTCAGCAAGAAGTTACTTCAGAGAGTAACTCACCAACCCTCCTACTCCAGGTGAGGTCACACTGGATTACAAGAGGTCACCCTGAGCTTTCCTCAGTGTTCTCAGACTCCCTCCAAGCTCTGTGGAGCCAGAGATCAAGAAGGCATTGCTCACACTTTCCAGCCTTCAAGTAAGAAAAAGAAGCTGAAGGAATCACCTTTCCATTTTTCCTTCCACTGGCCCATGATAGGTCTCACCTCCGATCCCACAACCCTGAGATCCCAACTTTGATGTGCCCGCTTTCAGGGAGATGAGTCCAACAGTCAGAACCTGGGCCAGGCTCACAGCAGACATGCAAGATGGCATTCTGTGGGGATGGAAATGCTCTCTGCTGTATGGCTGCTGGGCCACTGCATGGTGGCTGTTGTGATGAGGTTTTAAATATTTCATTGTATATCTTTAAGTTTATTTAAGTAAAAAGAGGCATGTATATGACTGAGAAGCACACTAGATGGGACAGCTCCAGAGATCCAGACATGAGGAAGACCTGACTCCCCTCTCCTGGTGTTTTCTGCAGAACTGTTTGCTGCTCTGATCCTACCACACATTTACGGTTACTTCCTGGGCATCTGCAGAAGGGCCAGTCACTGTGTGGGGCTGGGGATAGGACAGTGAGGACAACATCCAGGTCCACAGGGATTCCAGCAGAAACGAGCTTGCACCCAGTAAGAGCGTGGCCCTGCACACCCTGTCTAGAATAGATCAGAGCAGCAGGAGCAGAGGGGTAGGGGCACCTCACTGTCCTCAGGAGCTTGTCCTCATCTCCAGGGACCCTGACTCAGAAGCTGGGCAGGCTCCAGGAAGAGTGTGGGGCTCAACAGGCTGAGCAGGCTGAGAAGAACACCTTTCTACACCTGCCTAGGTCCCAGCCAAGGGGTGACCCAGAGCTCATCCCAGGGGTGTGTTCATTAAAACATCCATGGAGCCTAATGTGTCCGTCCCAGGACTGAGCTCTAAGGTAAGGACAAATGAGGAAAACACAGTCACTGCTATGCTAGTAAACACCCATAGCCAGGGTTCCTCTATTCACCTGTGGGAAGACGCAGACTTTCAGACAGAAGATTTTAAACCATTGCCGAAATAAGTGGAAACTGAGATGTTATGGATCCACAGAAGAGTTGGAACAATGACCTGGACTCTGGGATTAGTCCCCAGCTCTTTGCTGAGATCACCCTGCACTGGAACTCATGTCCCTCCCCACCTGCCCTGCTACTTGGGAGTGCTGCAGCTGCCCAGGCCAAGAGCTGGGAAACTGTCCAGTTGAAAAGCATTTCTGGGCCAGAAGACCATTGGCCAACAGGGTCTACTGAAAAAACATTCCTCAGAAGACTTCCAAAAAAGGTGAAAAATAAAAACTTACCTGTCTCAGCCCCAAGAAGATCAGGCCTGGGACCTCTCTGTGTCAGGCCTGACCCTTAGGTCCACTCCTACTGACTGTGTCCTGTCTGCTCTGTGTCAGAATGATGGGGACCTGATTCCTGTTCTGCCCCTCTCAGCAATTTCTGCTGGTGTCATTGCCATCACACAGAGATGGAGAAGACATGGGACAGAAAGGAAGCCCCTTTCTCGAGGAATTAAGGGTGATGTTCACACCAAGCTTTTGAATAAGAGGAAGGCCAAGTCCCACTCACTCCTCCCCAGAAAGGGTCTCATCATGCCTGGGCCCTGGTGATGATGCTGAACTGATGCCCCTAACATTGCAACCTTGACATTCTCTTTTAACAATGTCCCAAATGTCCTCATTTCTTTCCCTCTGATCCTCTATATCATGTTCCCCTTCAGGTCTAGCATGAGGCTCACTCTTGCTCTCTCCCATGGAGTCCACTGAGCAGCTGTCCATGAATTCTGAGAACCTCAGTGTTCGTAACACCGACATTTTCCTTGACTCACACAACCAGCAGCGTGAGAACCACTGGGAAGCTTCATCTAGATTAAAGATATCTAGGACAATCTGGTCCTGAGAAAATCACTTCTGGGGTGAACAAGTGACATTGCCCAAACAGTTTCATTCTTTTGTTCCATTGGAAAAATACTGACACATACAGGACAACCAAGTTTTACTGAAAAGCAATGCATTTCCACAGAACGCATGCTCCAAAAATACCCCTCAAACTATCATGTGGTCCACTTGATCTTCATCATGACTGCAGCTACCTTGGCTCTCTGAGTGTGAAGGTTTTCAGAAGGAAACAAAAACCTATTTCAACAGTAGCATCAATAGGGCAGGACAAAGATTCTCCTGTCCCAGAGCCAAGTTCTTCACGGAGCCATCTGTTTCTCACACCACGCCCCAGATCCTCACACCTATCAGGAACCTGAAGCCAGGTGTTCTCCAGACAAAAGCAAGCAAGAAAATCCCGACTCATCACTTAGTTCTGTCATTAGGAAGAAGTGGTATTAGAATATGTACAATGTTAAAGAGAAGAACAAAATACACTGGGGCCTGCTGGAAGGCAAGCGGGAGGGAGAGCATCAGAATACACAACTAATGAATGTGGGGCTTAATACGTAAGTGAAGGCTTGACAGGTGCAGCACAACAAGCCACACTTTGACCTGTGTAACAAACCTACACATCCTGCACATGTATGTCGGAAAATGAAATCAAATATAATTATAAAAGAGACTGCCAAAGAAGGATAATCTAGAGAAACAAAAAGTAGGTTAGCGACTGCCTAGGGCCAGGGGTGTGGGGTTGAAATAAAAGAGAAGTGGCTACTAATGGCTATGGGGTTTCTCTGAGGGGGAATGATAAGATTCTAAAATTAGACTGTGACAATGGCTGCACAAACCTGTAAATAGAGTAAAAACCCGAGACCACCCACCTTAATTGAGTGAATTGTTTGGCATGTCAACTACCTGTTAATAAAGCGGTTTAAGAAAAAGAACACTTACATTAGAGACTTGGGGCTGCCGTGGTGGTCTGCAACAAGAGAAAATGAAACAAAATGCCATGAGCATCAGAGCATGCTGAGGGCAACTAGTGCAGGTCTTTTCACTTGGTGACAATAGAAAACAAGGTGGTAGGCTAGGCGCGGTGGCTCACACCTGTAATCCCAGCATGTTGGGAAGCTGAGGCGGGCAGATAATGAGGTGAAGATATTAAGACCACCCTGGCCAATATGGTGAAACCCCATCTATATTAAAAACTACAAAAAAGCTGGGTGTGGTGGTGGTGTAAGCCTGTACTCCCAGCTACTCGGGAGGCTGAGGCAGTAGAATTGCTTGAACCCAGTAGATGGAGCTTGCAGTGATCCAAGATCACACCACTGCACTGTACCCTGGTGACACGGAGAGACTCTGTCTCAAAAAAAACCCAGATGTCAAACACTGAGGAAGTCACTGGCCCCAAATGAAGCATAGGGGATGCTTACTGAAAATGCAGTGGGTTTGGAATACTTAGCAAGTGTCTATGCTGGCTGGAAAATACAAAATTATTTTTCAGAAAGTAAATGTTGCTACTGAGAAATATGCACACGACCAGTTGGTAAGTTATGCCATCTTTTGACTGACATCGTCAATCAGGCTTCAATTGGTCATAAACTCCAGTGACTGGTGGCTAGTCGCTAGAGGCCATGAAAACAGATCTGATTCACAATAGCAGTCGAAAATAATATTCACTTTCTATTCTAGAAGGCCCAGAAATAGACACTTCTCCTCAAGATGAACAAATGCATCTCACCAGGGGCTCCTCGTCCTCTATGTCTTCAAGGACGCAGTCCTGGAGGACCTCAACAGGACCTAAAAATACACAAAGTGACAGTCAGTGCACTGGTGCTGCTGAGGAATCTGACAAGGAGTTTTGGAAAACGTGGATGGGGGCTGCAGTGTGTGGAGCTGCGCGGTTCACAAGCATGGACTGAGCTACTGCTACACTATTCTCCCTGGTGCTAAACGAAGGCAAAGGAGAGGGGCAGAAAAAAACGAAAGAGCCTTAGTTTCCTAGCTAGGGCAACCTCAACACTGTGAAATAGTAATCTGAAGAACTGGCTAATATGGAAAGACAACGTACTACAGAAACAGGAAGTAGATTACTGCTGCAGGGGTTTGGGAAAACAGAGGAGTCACTACTAATAAGGTTTCTTGGGGCAGAATGAAGAGGTTCTATAATTAGAATGTAACAATGGTTGCACAACCCTGAAAATATAATAAAAACATTGAATCACCTACTTTAAATGGGTGAATTGGTTTGCATGTCAACTACATCTAAGTAACTATTTAAGAGAAAAAGAATACGTACCGTTGTAATACCAGTCCACAGTACTCTGCTGCAATAAGAGAAAAAGAAACACCGTGAGGATTACATCATGCTGAATCCTGTTGGCACAGGTCTTTTCTGATACATGGCGGTATCAAAAAACCAGATGGCGGGCGGGGCGTGTTGGCTCACACCTGTAATCCAGCACTTTGGGAGGCTAAGAAGGGCAGATCATGAGGTCAAGATATTAAGACCACCCTGGCCAACATGGTGAAACCCCATCTATACTAAAAACTACAAAAAAGCTGGGTGTGGTGGTGGTATAGCCTGTAGTCCCAGCTATTCGGGAGGCTGAGACAGTAGAATCGCTTGAACCCAATAGGTGGAGCTTGCAGTGATCCAAGATAACACCACTGCACTGTACCCTGGTGACAGAGAAACTCTGTCTCAAAAATAACCCAGATGTCAAACATTGAGGAAGTAACTGGCCCCAAATGAAGCACAGGGGATGCTTACTGAAAATGCAGTGGGTTTGGAATATTTAGCAAGTGTCTATGATGGCTAAAAAATACAAAATTATTTTTCAGGAAGAAAATGTTGCTACTGAGAAATATACACACGACCAGTTGGTAAGTTATGCCATCTTTTGACTGACATCGTCAATCACGCCTCAGTTAGTCATAAACTCCAGTGACTGGTCGCTAGTGGCTAGAGGCCATGACAACTGAGGTCTGACTCACAATGGCAGTCAAAAATGATATCCACTTGATATTCTACAAGCCCCAGAAGAAGACATTTCTCCTCAAGATGAACAAATGCATCTCACCAGAAGCTCCTCGTCCTCGGTGTCATCAAGGTTGCAGTCCTGGGGGACCTCAACAGGACCTAAGAGAACACAGAGTGACAGTCAGTGCACTGGTGCTGCTGAGGAATCTCACAAGGAGCTTTGGAGAACGTGGGCTGGAATGTGTGGAGCTGGGCGGCTGACAAGCATGGACTGAGCTGCTGCTGGACTATTCTCATTGGTGCTGAAGGAAGGCAAAGGAGGGGGCAGAGAGAAATGAAAGAGCCTTTTTTCTAGCTACGGCAACCTCATCACTGTGAAATAGTCATTTGAAGAACTGGCTAATATGGAAAGGCAGCATACTATAGAAACAGGAAGTAGATTAGGGCTGCCTCGAACCAGGGCTGCAGCGGTTCAGGAAAACAGAGGAGTCACTACTAGTAAGGTTTCTTGGGGCAGAATGAAGAGGTTCTATAATTAGAATGTAACAATGGTTGCACAACCCTGAAAATATAATAAAAACACTGAATCACCTACTTTAAATGGGTGAATTGGTTTGCATGTCAACTACATCTAAGTAACTATTTAAAAGAAAAAGAATACGTACAATGGTAATAGTAGCCCACAGACCACTCCTGCAATAAGAGAAAAAGAAACATTGTGAGGATTACATCATGCTGAATCCTGTTGGCACAGGTCTTTTATTAACATGGCGGTAACAGAAAACCAGATGGTGGGCGGGGCGTGGTGGCTCACACCTGTAATCCAGCACTTTGGGAGGCTAAGAAGGGCAGATCATGAGGTCAAGATATTAAGACCACCCTGGCCAACATGGTGAAAACCCACCTATACTAAAAAACTACAAAAAAGCTGGGTGTGGTGGTGGCGTGAGCCTGTAGTCCCAGCTACTCGGGAGGCTGAGGCAGAATTGCTTGAACCCAGTAGGTGGAGCCTGCAGTGATCCAAGATCACACCACTGCACTATAGCCTGGTGACACAGAGAGACACTGTCTCAAGAAAAACCCAGATGTCAAACATTGAGGAAGTAACTGGCCCCAAATGAAGCATAGGGGATGCTTACTGAAAATGCGGTGGGTTTGGAATACTTAGCAAGTGTCTATGCTGGCTGGGAAATACAAAATTATTTTTCAGGAAGAAAATGTTGCTACTGAGAAATATACACACGACCAGTTGGTAAGTTATGCCATCTTTTGACTGACATCGTCAATCAGGCCTCAGTTGGTCATAAACTCCAGTGACTGGTCGCTAGTGGCTAGAGGCCATGACAACTGAGGTCTGATTCACAATGGCAGTCAAAAATGATATTCACTTGATATTCTAGAAGCCCCAGAAAAAGACATTTCTCCTCAAGATGAACAAATGCATCTCACCAGGGGCTCCTCGTCCTCGATGTCTTCAAGGACGCAGTCCTGGAGGACCTCAACAGGACCTAAGAGAACACAGAGTGACAGTCAGTGCATTGGTGCTGCTGAGGAATCTCACAAGGAGCTTTGGGGAACGTGGACGGGGGCTGGAGTGTCTGGAACTGGGCGGTTGACAAGCATGGACTCAGCTGCTGCTGGACTATTCTCCTTGGTGCTGAAGGAAGGCAAAGGAGAGGGGCAGAGAGAAATGAAAGAGCCTTGGCTTCCTAGCTACGGCAACCTCATCACTGTGAAATAGTCACCTTAAGAACCAGTTAATACGGAAAGGCACTGTATATAGAAACAAGTACATTAGGGCTGCCTAGAACCGGGGGTGCAAGGTTGGGAAAAACAGAGGGGTGTCTACTAATGAGGTTTCTTTGAGGAGGAATGAAGAGGTTTTACAATTAGATTGTAACATGCGTGCATAGCCTATAAATATAATTAAAACACCAAATCACCAACTTTAAATGGGTGAATTGAGTTGCATGTCAACTACATCCCAATGAAGCTATGTCAAACAAAAAATACGTACGGTGGTGATCCTCACGTGACGCATCCGCCTGCAGTAAGAGGGAAAAAGACCATCATGAGGATCAGATCATACTGGGTCCTGACTGCACAGGTCTTTTATTCACTTGGTGGTGTTCGAAAACCAGGTATCAAACAGTGATCAAGTCACTGACCCCCAAATAAAGCATAGAGGATGCTTGGAGAAAGGGCTGTGGCTTTTTGTCTTTGGTTTTGGACAGATTCTTGCTCTGTCACCCAGGCTGGAGTGCAGTGGCATGATCTCGGCTCACTGCAACCTCAGCTTCCCGGGTTCAAGCAATTCTCCTGCCTCACTCAGCCTTCCAAGTAGCTGTGACCACTGGTGCCTGTCACCATGTCCGGCTAATGTTTGTATTTATAGTAGAGATGAGGTTTCATTATATTGGCCCTGTCTGCCTCAACCTCCCAAAGTGCTGGGATTCCATGTGTGAGCCACCGAGGCAGTGGGTTTTCATGGGATATTTAGCAAGTCCATGTTCGCTGCCAAATGCAAAATTACTTTTCAAAAAGAAAATGTTGCTACTGAGAAATAGGCTCACTACTAGTTTGTCAGTGATGTCATCTTTGGACTGATATCATCAATCAGGCCCCAGTGGTCATAAACTCCAGTGACTGGTCGCTAGTGGCTAGAGGCCATGACAACTGAGGTCTGATTCACAATGGCAGTCAAAAATGATATTCACTTGATATTCTAGAAGCCCCAGGAAAAGACATTTCTCATCAAAATGAACAAATGCATCTCACCACGGGCTCCTCGTCCTTAATGTCTTCATGGACGCACTCCTGGAGGGCCACAATAGGACCTAAGAGAACACAGAGTGACAGTCAGTGCACTGGTGCTGCTGAGGAATATCACAAGGAGCTTTGGGGAACGTGGACGGGGGCTGGAATGTGTGGATCTGGGCGGCTGACAAGCATAAATTGAGCTGCTGCTGGACTATTCTCCTTGGTGCTGAAGGAAGGCAAAGGAGAGGGGCAGAGAGAAATGAAAGAGCCTTTTTTCTAGCTAGGGCAACCTCATCACTGTGAAATAGTCATTTGAAGAACTGGCTAATATGGAAAGGCAGCATACTATAGAAACAGGAAGTAGATTAGGGCTGCCTGGAACCAGGGCTGCAGGGGTTCGGGAAAACAGAGGAGTCACTACTAATAAGGTTTCTTGGGGCAGAATGAAGAGGTTCTATGATTAGAATGTAACAATGGTTGCACAACCCTGAAAATATAATAAAAACACTGAATCACCTACTTTAAATGGGTGAATTGGTTTGCATGTCAACTACATCTAAGTAACTATTTAAAAGAAAAAGAATACGTACAATGGTAATAGTAGCCCACAGACCACTCCTGCAATAAGAGAAAAAGAAACATTGTGAGGATTACATCATGCTGAATCCTGTTGGCACAGGTCTTTTATTAACATGGCGGTAACAGAAAACCAGATGGTGGGCGGGGCGTGGTGGCTCACACCTGTAATCCAGCACTTTGGGAGGCTAAGAAGGGCAGATCATGAGGTCAAGATATTAAGAACACCCTGGCCAACATGGTGAAACCCCATCTATACTAAAAAAATACAAAAAAGCTGGGTGTGGTGGTGGCGTGACCCTGTAGTCCCAGCTACTAGGGAGGTTGAGGCAGAATTGCTTGAACCCAGTAGATGGAGCTTGCAGTGATCCAAGATCACACCACTGCACAGTACCCTGGTGACACAGAGAGACTCTGTCTCAAAAAAAAAACCCAGATGTCAAACACTGAGGAAGTCACTGGCCCCAAATGAAGCACAGGGGATGCTTACTGAAAATGCAGTGGGTTTGGAATACTTAGCAAGGGTCTATGCTGGCTGGGAAATACAAAATTATTTTTCAGGAAGAAAATGTTGCTACTGAGAAATATACACAGGACCAGTTGGTAAGTTATGCCATCTTTTGACTGACATCGTCAATCAGGCCTCAGTTGGTCATAAACTCCAGTGACTGGTCGCTAGTGGCTAGAGGCCATGACAACTGAGGTCTGATTCACAATGGCAGTCAAAAATGATATTCACTTGATATTCTAGAAGCCCCAGAAAAAGACATTTCTCCTCAAGATGAACAAATGCATCTCACCAGGGGCTCCTCGTCCTCGATGTCTTCAAGGACGCAGTCCTGGAGGACCTCAACAGGACCTAAAAATACACAAAGTGACAGTCAGTGCACTGGTGCTGCTGAGGAATCTGACAAGAAGATTTGGAAAACGTGGACGGGGGCTGCAGTGTGTGGAGCTGCGCGGTTCACAAACATGGACTGAGCTACTGCTACACTATTCTCCCTGGTGCTAAACGAAGGCAAAGAGGGGCAGAAAAAAATGAAAGAGCCTTGGTTTCCTAGCTAGGGCAACCTCAACACTGTGAAATAGTAATTTGAAGAACTGGCTAACATGGAAAGGCAACGTACTACAGAAACAGGAAGTAGATTACGGCTGCAGGGGTTCGGGAAAACAGAGAAGTCACTACTAATAAGGTTTCTTGGGGCAGAATGAAGAGGTTCTATAATTAGAATGTAACAATGGTTGCACAACCCTGAAAATGTAATAAAAACACTGAATCACCTCCTTTAAATGGGTGAATTGGTTTGCATGTCAACTACATCTAAGTAACTATTTAAGAGAAAAAGAATACGTACGGTGGTAATCCCGGTCCACAGTACTCTGCTGCAATAAGAGAAAAAGAAACACCGTGAGGATTACATCATGCTGAATCCTGTTGGCACAGGTCTTTTCTGATACATGGCGGTATCAAAAAACCAAATGGCGGGCGGGGCGTGTTGGCTCACACCTGTAATCCAGCACTTTGGGAGGCTAAGAAGGGCAGATCATGAGGTCAAGATATTAAGACCACCCTGGCCAACATGGTGAAACCCCATCTATACTAAAAACTACAAAAAAGCTGGGTGTGGTGGTGGTATAGCCTGTAGTCCCAGCTACTCGGGAGGCTGAGGCAGTAGAATTGCTTGAAGCCAATAGGTGGAGCTTGCAGTGATCCAAGATCACACCACTGCACAGTACCCTGGTGACACAGAGAGACTCTCTCAAAAATAACCCAGATGTCAAACATTGAGGAAGTCACTGGCCCCAAATGAAGCATAGGGGATGCTTACTGAAAATGCAGTGGGTTTGGAATATTTAGCAAGTGTCTATGCTGGCTGGAAAATACAAAATTATTTTTCAGGAAGAAAATGTTGCTACTGAGAAATATACAACTTACAGTTGGTAAGTTATGCCATCTTTTGACTGACATCGTCAATCACGCCTCAGTTAGTCATAAACTCCAGTGACTGGTCGCTAGTGGCTAGAGGCCATGACAACTGAGGTCTGACTCACAATGGCAGTCAAAAATGATATTCACTTGATATTCTAGAAGCCCCAGAAAAAGACATTTCTCCTCAAGATGAACAAATGCATCTCACCACGGGCTCCTCATCCTCGGTGTCTTCAAGGTTGCAGTCCTGGGGGACCTCAACAGGACCTAAGAGAACACAGAGTGACAGTCAGTGCACTGGTGCTGCTGAGGAATCTCACAAGGAGCTTTGGGGAACGTGGGCTGGAATGTGTGGAGCTGGGCGGTGACAAGCATGGACTGAGCTGCTGCTGGACTATTCTCATTGGTGCTGAAGGAAGGCAAAGGAGAGGGGCAGAGAGAAATGAAAGAGCCTTGGCTTCCTAGCTAGGGCAACCTCATCACTGTGAAATAGTCATTTGAAGAACTGGCTAATATGGAAAGGCAGCATACTATAGAAACAGGAAGTAGATTAGGGCTGCCTCGAACCAGGGCTGCAGGAGTTCGGGAAAACAGAGGAGTCACTACTAATAAGGTTTCTTGGGGCAGAATGAAGAGGTTCTATAATTAGAATGTAACAATGGTTGCACAACCCTGAAAATATAATAAAAACACTGAATCACCTACTTTAAATGGGTGAATTGGTTTGCATGTCAACTACATCTAAGTAACTATTTAAAAGAAAAAGAATACGTACAATGGTAATAGTAGCCCACAGACCACTCCTGCAATAAGAGAAAAAGAAACATTGTGAGGATTACATCATGCTGAATCCTGTTGGCACAGGTCTTTTATTAACATGGCGGTAACAGAAAACCAGATGGTGGGCGGGGCGTGGTGGCTCACACCTGTAATCCAGCACTTTGGGAGGCTAAGAAGGGCAGATCATGAGGTCAAGATATTAAGACCACCCTGGCCAACATGGTGAAACCCCATCTATACTAAAAAATTACAAAAAAGCTGGGTGTGGTGGTGGCGTGAGTCTGTAGTCCCTGCTACTCGGGAGGCTGAGGCAGAATTGCTTGAACCCAGTAGGTGAAGGTTGCAGTGATCCAAGATCACACCACTGCACTATAGCCTGGTGACACAGAGAGACACTGTCTCAAGAAAAACCCAGATGTCAAACATTGAGGAAGTAACTGGCCCCAAATGAAGCATAGGGGATGCTTACTGAAAATGCAGTGGGTTTGGAATACTTAGCAAGGGTCTATGCTGCCTGGGAAATACAAAATTATTTTTCAACAAGAAAATGTTGCTACTGAGAAATATACACACGACCAGTTGGTAAGTTATGCCATCTTTTGACTGACATCGTCAATCAGGCCTCAGTTGGTCATAAACTCCAGTGACTGGTAGCTAGTGGCTAGAGGCCATGACAACTGAGGTCTGATTCACAATGGCAGTCAAAAATGATATTCACTTGATATTCTAGAAGCCCCAGAAAAAGACATTTCTCCTCAAGATGAACAAATGCATCTCACCAGGGGCTCCTCATCCTCGATGTCTTCAAGGACGCAGTCCTGGAGGACCTCAACAGGACCTAAGAGAACACAGAGTGACAGTCAGTGCATTGGTGCTGCTGAGGAATCTCACAAGGAGCTTTGGGGAATGTGGACGGGCGCTGGAGTGTGTGGAGCTGGGCGGTTGACCAGCATGGACTGAGCTACTGCTGGACTATTCTCCTTGGTGCTGAAGGAAGGCAAAGGAGAGGGGCAGAGAGAAATGAAAGAGCCTTGGCTTCCTAGCTACGGCAACCTCATCACTGTGAAATAGTCACCTTAAGAACCGGTTAATACGGAAAGGCACTGTATATAGAAACAAGAAGTACATTAGGGCTGCCTAGAACCGGGGGTGCAAGGTTGGGAAAAACAGAGGGGTGTCTACTAATGAGGTTTCTTTGAGGAGGAATGAAGAGGTTTTACCATTAGATTGTAACATGCGTGCATAGCCTATAAATATAGTTAAAACACCAAATCACCAACTTTAAATGGGTGAATTGGGTTGCATGTCAACTACATCCCAATGAAGCTATGTCAAACAAAGAATACGTACGGTGGTGATCCTCACGTGCAGCATCCGCCTGCAGTAAGAGGGAAAAAGACCATCATGAGGATCAGATCATACTGGGTCCTGACTGCACAGGTCTTTTATTCACTTGGTGGTGTTCGAAAACCAGGTATCAAACAGTGATCAAGTCACTGACCCCCAAATAAAGCATAGAGGATGCTTGGAGAAAGGGCTGTGGCTTTTTGTCTTTGGTTTTGGACAGATTCTTGCTCTGTCACCCAGGCTGGAGTGCAGTGGCATGATCTCGGCTCACTGCAACCTCAGCTTCCCGGGTTCAAGCAATTCTCCTGCCTCACTCAGCCTTCCAAGTAGCTGTGACCACTGGTGCCTGTCACCATGTCCGGCTAATGTTTGTATTTATAGTAGAGATGAGGTTTCATTATATTGGCCCTGTCTGCCTCAGCCTCCCAAAGTGCTGGGATTCCATGTGTGAGCCACCGAGGCAGTGGGTTTTCATGGGATATTTAGCAAGTCCGTGTTGGCTGCCAAATACAAAATTATTTTTCAGGAAGAAAATGTTGCTACTGAGAAATAGGCTCACTACTAGTTTGTCAGTGATGTCATCTTTTGACTGACATCGTCAATCAGGCCTCAGTTGGTCATAAACTCCAGTGACTGGTCGCTAGTGGCTAGAGGCCATGACAACTGAGGTCTGATTCACAATGGCAGTCAAAATGATATTCACTTGATATTCTAGAAGCCTCAGAAAAAGGCATTTCTCCTCAAGATGAACAAATGCATCTCACCAGGGGCTCCTCGTCCTCGATGTCTTCATGGACGCAGTCCTGGAGGACCTCAACAGGACCTAAGAGAACACAGGGTGACAGTCAGTGCACTGGTGCTGCTGAGGAATCTCACAAGGAGCTTTGGGGAACGTGGACGGGCGCTGGAGTGTATGGAGCTGGGCGGTTGACCAGCATGGACTCAGCTGCTGCTGGACTATTCTCCTTGGTGCTGAAGGAAGGCAAAGGAGAGGGGCAGAGAGAAATGAAAGAGCCTTGGCTTCCTAGCTACGGCAACCTCATCACTGTGAAATAGTCACCTTAAGAACCGGTTAATACAGAAAGGCACTGTATATAGAAACAAGAAGTACATTAGGGCTGCCTAGAACTGGGGGTGCAAGGTTGGGAAAAATAGAGGGGTGTCTACTACTGAGGTTTCTTTGAGGAGGAATGAAGAGGTTTTACAATTAGATTGTAACATGCGTGCATAGCCTATAAATATAGTTAAAACACCAAATCACCAACTTTAAATGGGTGAATTGGGTTGCATGTCAACTACATCCCAATGAAGCTATGTCAAACAAAGAATACGTACGGTGGTGATCCTCACATGACGCCTCCGCCTGCAGTAAGAGGGAAAAAGACCATCATGAGGATCAGATCATACTGGGTCCTGACTGCACAGGCCTTTTATTCACTTGGTGGTGTTAGAAAACCAGGTATCAAACAGTGATCAAGTCACTGACCCCCAAATAAAGCATAGAGGATGCTTGGAGAAAGGGCTGTGGCTTTTTGTCTTTGGTTTTGGACAGATTCTTGCTCTGTCACCCAGGCTGGAGTGCAGTGGCATGATCTCGGCTCACTGCAACCTCAGCTTCCCGGGTTCAAGCAATTCTCCTGCCTCACTCAGCCTTCCAAGTAGCTGTGACCACTGGTGCCTGTCACCATGTCCGGCTAATGTTTGTATTTATAGTAGAGATGAGGTTTCATTATATTGGCCCTGTCTGCCTCAGCCTCCCAAAGTGCTGGGATTCCATGTGTGAGCCACCGAGGCAGTGGGTTTTCATGGGATATTTAGCAAGTCCGTGTTGGCTGCCAAATACAAAATTATTTTTCAGGAAGAAAATGTTGCTACTGAGAAATAGGCTCACTACTAGTTTGTCAGTGATGTCATCTTTTGACTGACATCGTCAATCAGGCCTCAGTTGGTCATAAACTCCAGTGACTGGTCGCTAGTGGCTAGAGGCCATGACAACTGAGGTCTGATTCACAATGGCAGTCAAAATGATATTCACTTGATATTCTAGAAGCCTCAGAAAAAGGCATTTCTCCTCAAGATGAACAAATGCATCTCACCAGGGGCTCCTCGTCCTCGATGTCTTCATGGACGCAGTCCTGGAGGACCTCAACAGGACCTAAGAGAACACAGAGTGACAGTCAGTGCACTGGTGCTGCTGAGGAATCTCACAAGGAGCTTTGGGGAACGTGGACGGGCACTGGAGTGTATGGAGCTGGGCGGTTGACCAGCATGGACTCAGCTGCTGCTGGACTATTCTCCTTGGTGCTGAAGGAAGGCAAAGGAGAGGGGCAGAGAGAAATGAAAGAGCCTTGGTTTCCTAGCTACGGCGACCTCATCACTGTGAAATAGTCACCTTAAGAACCGGTTAATACAGAAAGGCACTGTATATAGAAACAAGAAGTACATTAGGGCTGCCTAGAACTGGGGGTGCAAGGTTGGGAAAAATAGAGGGGTGTCTACTACTGAGGTTTCTTTGAGGAGGAATGAAGAGGTTTTACAATTAGATTGTAACATGCGTGCATAGCCTATAAATATAGTTAAAACACCAAATCACCAACTTTAAATGGGTGAATTGGGTTGCATGTCAACTACATCCCAATGAAGCTATGTCAAACAAAGAATACGTACGGTGGTGATCCTCACATGACGCCTCCGCCTGCAGTAAGAGGGAAAAAGACCATCATGAGGATCAGATCATACTGGGTCCTGACTGCACAGGCCTTTTATTCACTTGGTGGTGTTAGAAAACCAGGTATCAAACAGTGATCAAGTCACTGACCCCCAAATAAAGCATAGAGGATGCTTGGAGAAAGGGCTGTGGCTTTTTGTCTTTGGTTTTGGACAGATTCTTGCTCTGTCACCCAGGCTGGAGTGCAGTGGCATGATCTCGGCTCACTGCAACCTCAGCTTCCCGGGTTCAAGCAATTCTCCTGCCTCACTCAGCCTTCCAAGTAGCTGTGACCACTGGTGCCTGTCACCATGTCCGGCTAATGTTTGTATTTATAGTAGAGATGAGGTTTCATTATATTGGCCCTGTCTGCCTCAGCCTCCCAGAGTGCTGGGATTCCATGTGTGAGCCACCGAGGCAGTGGGTTTTCATGGGATATTTAGCAAGTCCGTGTTGGCTGCCAAATACAAAATTATTTTTCAGGAAGAAAATGTTGCTACTGAGAAATAGGCTCACTACTAGTTTGTCAGTGATGTCATCTTTTGACTGACATCATCAATCAGGCCCCAGTTGGTCATAAACTCCAGTGACTGGTCGCTAGTGGCTAGAGGCCATGACAACTGAGGTCTGATTCACAATGGCAGTCAAAAATGATATTCACTTGATATTCTAGAAGCCCCAGAGAAAGACATTTCTCCTCAACATGAACAAATGCATCTCACCAGGAGCTCCTCGTCCTTGATGTCTTCATGGACGCAGTCCTGGAGGACCTCAACGGGACCTAAGAGAACACAGAGTGACAGTGCATTGGTGCTGCTGAGGAATATCAGAAGGAGGCTTGGGGGATGTGGACCGAAGCTGCAGTGTATGGAGCTCGGCTGCTGACAAGCATGGATTGAGCTGCTGCTGGACCACTCTCCATGGTGTTGAAGGAAGGCAAAGGAGAGGGGCAGAAAGAAATGAAAGAGCCTTGGCTTTCTAGCTAGGGCAACCTCATCAGTTTGAAATAGTCTGAGAACTGGTTAATACAGAAAGGCACTGTATGGCTCAGTGAGAGCATCTCATCACACCTGCTGCCCATGTGAAGGTCTAGGCAAATCCCAACATTTTATGAAATGTTACAGGATTATTTAACTTCTGTGGATCTACATATCCTGCCACTACATTTATCATCTATGCTGTTGTATTTTTAAAATTGTAGTAAAGCATACATATTTATTATTTTACTTATTAACTGTGCATTTTCATGATATTATATTCAGTAACATTCATGATGCTGTGTCAATAATGAGAAAAATCTAAATTCATAATCTAGCTTTCACCTTGGGCAATGGAAAAACAGCAGTGTAATGTTAAATAGAAAAAAAAAATACATAATGATTGCAGAAATTAATGGAATAAAAAACAGGAAATCATCAGAGAAAATCAACAAAACCAAAAACCAGTTCTTTGAAAAGATCAATAACATTGATAAACCTCTACCTTGTCTAACCAGAAAGGAAAAGAAGGAAGTCACGATGTACTAATAATATCAGTTGAAGACGAGTGGAATCAAAAAATACTAAGAAAGGAATATTGTGAACACATCTGTGCTCACACTTGGATACATTATATGAAATGAGCTAATTTTTTGGATCTGTTTCAGAAAGTTAAAAGTCTTCTCAGGATAAACGAATCATCTGAATAGGCCTATATTTTAGAAATTGAAAAAAAAAAAAAAAAAACACTACCTGCAGATGAATTCACCGGTAAATTCTACCAAAATTCTTACAAGGAAACGTCGTCTTACCATACAAGCAAAGCAAGTAACCATAATTTTAGCATTGCCTTAGTTACATTTTAAAAATTATGTTTCCAAACAAGACACAAGAAGGTTTATAACTGCTGTATTCATAATTGCCCAAACTGAAAGCAAATGTCTAAATATTTGAGATGTCCTTTACTATCAAAAGTGAACCAAGCTGGGCAACATGGTGAAACCCTGTCTCTACGAAAAAAGTAAAAGTTTTAAAAATAGCTTGGTATAAAGCATGCGCATTACAGCCATCTGCTTGGGAGGCTGAGGTAGCAGGATCACCTGAACATGGGGAGGTCAGGATTGCAATGAGCTGTGATTGCACCAATGCACTCCTGGGTGACAAAATGAGACCTTCTCACAAAAACAAAGAAACAACAACAACAAAAAAACAAACTCTAAGTTGTCAACATAACTTTACTTGTGTAGTTGCATCACCCATTGATTTAATGCATTAAATGGGCACAAATGAAAGAAATGAAGAACATGACATAGCATTTACTGAGTTTCTCTCATATGGGACACTGGATGAGTAAACTGGAATTATTTGCTTCAATAAACTTAATGATATAATTTCTACCCTACCTTCATTTTTATTGGGGCACCTTTTCTTTTGTCTCCATTTTTTGGCTACCCAGCTCCTGACACGGCGAGCCAAACCTGCAAGGCAGAAATTTATTATAATAAAGACAGTGCTTGACATTTTGCTGGCAGAGGACACAGAGAAATTAGTAAAAACTTTCTCAGTTTAAACTTTCGATCCCAGTTTTCACCGACTGCTTTTCAATGCTACCTGAATTAGATCTGGGTTCTAGGAAGGCTTGTTTTTCCAGGCAGATACCTTTATTCAGAGGAGACAATATAGAAAAGCAGAAGTTCCAAATTACCAAAAATAGGCTGGGTTCAAATCCTACTTAGAATCTGCACATACCTGGGAGAGGGATATGAACCTATCTGTGCCTCTCTTCCCTATTCTCAGATGTGAAAACGTTAGTAGATATAGGCTATAGACCTACTAAGGTCTATAGTGTCTAAAAGGATGAAATGCAGATAAAGCCTTAAAAAGACTCATGTTTTTGGAAATGCCCTAAAATGTTCAATCAATGTCGGGAAGAATCATCCAGATACTTGGTAGTGGTTGAATACAGAGAGGGAGCTTCCATGTCTCTGTGCAGGGTAGGATGGAAAGTGACTTTACAGTTTCCATAACCACATGATTTCCAGCTCATGACAGAGATCTGTGATTTCCCTGATGCCCAAGTCAGCCCCAAGGGACAGGCAGGGAAGGGGCTACAACCCATATTTTCCAATTCAGTGAATTAAAACTCAGACATTTTGAGTGACTTGCCCAGAGTCACCACAGTGAGGAGCGATAAATCTGAGGTAATAATGTAGTTGGTTCCCTGGGGATAGAGATCCTGGAACACCTGAGTCCTCTAGATCATGCCCTGGACCCTGGACCGAGAGCTCTTCTCACAAGCTTTGTGAAATCCTGCTGCCCCAGTATTTCTGTGGGATGGTTGATGTTCTGGAGAGGTGGCAGGTGGCTTACCGCATTTACTGACCTACTCTATTATCCCTATGTTGTCACTTTTATTAGTTTTATGACCCATAAGGCAAACATTTTAAGTCTCTCCGTTATGATGCACGGTCTGAGATTTTACCTGAATCCACTCTTTCCACCCATCTGGTGATTCTCATCTGCTGGGCTGGAGCTGGCCTGCCATAAAAGAGGACACACGGCATACCACGGAGCTGCTGCGTGCCCCACTCCTGTGCACACTCTTGCCTTGCTTCTGCTTTCCCAGCTCTGACAATCCTAATTCTGGCTTCCAAACCAATCCTGTATGTCCCTCTCAGTTCTCAGACTTGCCTGAACTGTTGGATATTTTAATCACTGTTGTGACCATGACTGAATGGTGACATTTCATATATCATAGTATATGTTTATCTTTTTATATATTTCTTAATAGCAGTTAACTTACTGTTTCAGACTTTTAGGAACATTTCTGGGCTAAGTGTGCTGGCCCATGGCCGTAATCCTGACATTTTTGGAGGCTAAGGCAGAAGGATTGCTTGAGGTCAAACGTTTGAGACCAACCTGGGCAACACAGTGAGACCTCGTCTCTACAAAAAAACTAAAAATTACCAGATGTGGCGGTGAGCACTTGTATCCCTAGCTACATGGAAGACTGTTGTGGGAAGATCATTCAAGCCTAGAAGATTGAGGCTGCAGTGAGCTATGACCACGCCACTGCACTCCAGCCTGGGTGACAAAGCAAGACCCTGTCTTTTCAAAATAAAAAGCATTACTGTGTCACAAGTATCCCCATTTTATTTCTCATTATCTAATATTGCTGTTTTCATCCTGAGGCTTAATTGCTTTAGTAAGATTAAAAAAAAAAAGTTTTTTTTTTTTTAGAAAAGGTCCTATTTAAAGGTCATATGCACACCTTTTTATAAATTCTAGTTTTATATGCCATATATCTAGAATTTACACTCTTGAGGTACTGAGTCTTCTTCTTAGAACCAGCCTCCTCATATGTAACACAGTATAATTCCCTTTTTATACCTGACTCAAAACATTGAGAGGATAGAATAAAATGAAAGAGCAGTCTGGATACCGCGTAATGCACGATGAATCACAAAGCAAAGCTTTCTCAGACTAACTCAAAGGCGAAAAGTGCACAGTTAGCATCCTCTGCAGAACCCATAGCAAAATAAAATTTTGAGAAAATATGCACTTTGGCTGCCCAGTGAAGTTAGAAGGAAACTGTCACAGGTCATCATCAAGACTTCCCCAACATTGGCTTTTATTTTTAAATAATGAAATACACATCATTTCCCCTGCTTTCTTTCATGTATATTACTGCATGTTCTCTTTGCTTTTCTGCGTACCCTATCTTGGGAATCACTCCATAGCAATAAAAAGACATCTTACTCTTTTTTACAGCTCCATACTTCTCCTTTATGTAGATGTACCAGCTTATTTTTTTTTCTTAGAAATAAACATTTAATAAGGACTGACAAACAGAAGCCATGTCTGTGTCTTGAGTGGTGGCAAGACAAGATGGTGGATCCCTGTGCCATTACCCCTCACACCCCTCAGACTGAGGGTGTGTGTACCATAGGGAAGGGATGGTTCAGAAGGAAGGTATGGGACAATTGAAGTACGATAACATTAAGGTCTTTTTACCTATAGGCAGGGTTTACAGTAAGTACCTGCTCTACCCAGTGGCTCACAATGCCCCACCCCACAGCCCCACCCAGTGGCTCACAATGCCCATCCCTGCTGCTGCCCACCTGTGGTCACCATGCCCCTCTATGTGACTGCATTATTCATCCTGGACTGCCTGAGCTTTCCAGTCCTGAGAAAAGTGTGTGTGGAGGGAAGGGTGGTTGTTATTGGAAGTCACCCTGGAGGCTCAACTCAGTAGAAAACCCTGGTTACTAATGTCAGTTCCATTAGCATCTCTGGTTTTCTGAGTCTGGTAGCTTTCATTTGTTCAACGAATATAGTTATATGCAAATGTTTGACTGATTTTGTAACTAGATGCTCCTCTCCTGTCTTACAAGTGTTAGTTTTTGTCTTCAATTTGACCATAGCAAAAAAAATGAAATGCTTCCTCTCTCCTCCCCTTTTCCATCCTGTAGGAAGGGGAGCCATGAAAACAAACTCTTTTGCACAGGCAGGGTCTGGCCTTCTAACTCCAAGTCTTTACCTTACAAATTCAAGTCTAAAGACATTTCATCTCTTTTGGAACCTGTAACCATGAGTTAGCTCTACCTGTCTTTCAGAACAAGGAAGTAAACAAAGCCCGTGAAGTTACTGGAGTAGGGCTGAAGAGACATTCATGTCAAAGTGGGAATTTTAAAGTAATCAGAGCTCCAGGGCTAAACTTTTGGGTAAAACCACAACAAAAACTTTTTTACAGCTCTGGCAGTAACATTTCATACGTTTTGCAGTCATTTTAAGCATGTCCCTCAATTTCTCCTTCGGTTTTCAAATGACAATTGGAAGAAATAAAGCTGCTTCTGTCAAGGTGACTTCAAACCATCTATTAAGAACACCATATAATCCCTTCCATGGCAAACTCTACTTTAAATTTAAGAAGTCTCCAAATATTTGAGTCTGAATTATCCCAATTATTGGCTTCCTTATTAAATAGGAGAAAAGAAATGATTGGGCCTTTAACCAGCTCCTTCACTGAGGTGCCACAGTAGCTGGATAGGTAAGGCTAGAGAATGGGATGGAGACTCCAAAACTGGAGTATCTGAATTTTCATCCAGGAAAGGGAGAGACTAGACCAAAAAGGCCTCAAGCAAGAAGGCTCAACAATGAAGACAAGAGGCAGGAATAGCCTTTGTCCCCCATGCCCAGCCCCAGGAAAGCTGGCTATAGGCAGGAGGGAGCTGGAACCTGAGGATGTCTCTGGGGTGAGGGGATGGGAGGAAGGTGGGAGAGGTGGTGGCCAGAGATGTGCCAGAGAGAAAATGGTGCCCGTGGCTTCTTTACCTTTGCGCCTCTTTGGTTTTACGGGCTGCACGTCCTGCACCTCCGCCACTCTGGGATGTAACACAGCAGGCTCTGGAATGGTGGATTCCTCAGACTGGCTACAAGCCTCGCAGAAGGTACAACTGAGGCCAGCGCTGGGGCGCAGGCAGTTCCCCATGGGTGATATACAAGGGGGAAAACAACACACACAAAAAAGAAAAAGAAAAATAAGAAAAAGCAACACACACACACACAAAAGAAAAACACAAAACAAAGCAACAAATAAAATAAAATAAAAAAAAAAGCAACAGAGCAAGCGCCAAGGGCACACTTCTGAGAGTAGTCGGAGCTCCTCCTCCTACCACTACCAGCTTCCGACTGAAGGCTGCTGGTCCTGGCTGATGCCTGCCCCCCACAAAGCATTCTATGTCACCGGGTTACCGTTACCAGGAAACAACAAAGTCAGGCCAGTGACTCACAATGCCACTTCCCAAAACCCCATCCAATGGCTCACAATGCCCATCCCTGCTGCTGGCCACCTGGGCCACCGTGCCCCTTTGGTGACTGCATTATTTATCCTGACCTGCCCGAGATAACCCATTTTTCACTATAGGCCTCAAAAAACTCAGAAATGTCCCTTCATAGATTCTATAGTGTGTGTCTAACCTGTGAATAAAAACAAAAGTTTCATTCTGCGTGATAAATCCACAAACGCAAAGCATTTTCACAGAATCCTTTGGGGCCCACCTCTCACCCTCAGCTTCCTGTTCTTAGTTATTTGGGCTTCTGTCTTGTATGATCTGTCAGGTTCTAGGCCTTGTAAGGGTGAGTTCCATGTCTCCACTCACTTATATGTGCCCAGGACAGTTGGCTCTTCGGAGGCTCTTCATGGTGACTGAGGCTATGGATCCTTCGCATTGTTCCTTGAATCCAATTGACAATACTCATCCTGAAATGATGCTTTGAAAGGGATGCTTCCAGTCCATTGTGGGTCCACCGTATTATGAATCCCTAGTACCCAATACATGGCATATAAGAAATAAATGAAAAATTAGTGAATGAACTCAAGTGTGCCTACAAGGTGAGAGAAAAGTGGTCCTACTTACTAGGTGTGCTATGAAGGCATCTGGGACCATTGGCTCTGCTATTTCATAGTAGACCTGGGGCTTTGAAGGCTGGTATTTCCTCATTCTAAACCTCAGATTCCAATAAATTACCACCAAGTTGACAAAGGTCCACGGGCCAGAGCTCTTGGGGTGAACATACCTTTTTTGGGTGTGATTCATGGACAGGGGCTATACAAAACTAAAAACCATGTTTGTGTGCTGACTACCTGCAAGCCGCGGTGAGAAAACACTCTGTATAAACGATCTTATTCAATGCTTGTTACAAATCCCTGAAGTGGATTTTTAGACAAACTTTCTATTCTACAACCTTTTGGAACAAGAGGCTAGTGTAGTGAGCTTCCACCTACTCACCAGCAGATTCAGATATTTGTTAACTGATGACCAATCTCGTTACATGTATACTCCTACATGTTTCTCCTCTTCCTCTCGTGATTTTATAGCAAATCCCACACATCATAGAATTTTCTCCCTGACTGTCTTGGTATATGGCTGTAAAAGATACGATTCTTGTTTGTTCTTTCAACACAAGGTCTGTCACCCAGGCTGGAGTTCAGTGGCATGACCTTGGTTCACTGTGGCCTCTCCTGCCTCAACTTCCTGAGTAGCTGCAACTTACAGACTCACACCAGCATGCCCAGCTAATCTTTTTATTTATATTTTAGTAGAGACAGGGTCTTGCTATGTTACCCAGGCTGGTCTACAATTCCTGGATTCAAAGGATCTTCCCGCCTTGACCTCCACACTACTGAGATTATAGGTGTGAACCGCTGTGCCCGGAGACAAGAACTCTTTAAAAACTATAATCCCAATACCATCATCAACCAACCATCTCACACCATTGCTCTTTATCACTGTCAACTCTCCTTCTAGCTCCAAATTTCCAGTCATTTCATGTATTTATTGTTTGAATCAGGATCCAAATAAAGTCTCTCTTTGGGATTGTTTGATTCACCTCTTAGGGTTTTTTGGATCCTGACAGCTTCCCACTTTGATCTCTGTGCTGTCCCTTGCAGTCCATTTATTGAATAAATCAGGCCATTTCCCCATAGTTTGAATTATGCTAAGTGTATTCTCATTATGCTGTTTCTCATACTGTGAATTTTGCTAATTGTATCTTGTGATGTTGGTTAACTTGCTCTTCACTTTGTTCTCATTTTGATAAATTAGTCTTGATCTCAAGACTTGGTGAGATTCAGGTTGGACTTGTGGGTCAGGGCAAAAATGCTGTGTTAGTTTCTTCTGGGAGGAGGTGTGTACTCTCTGGACATCTTTTTTTTTTTTTTTTTTTTTAATTGATGTTCATGGCCATTGATCAATTATGGATTGAACAATGAAGATATTGTTATATCATTCCTTCTTCGTTTATGAGCTGCCACACTTCAAGAAAGAGATACTGCTACCCTAAGAAGGGCCTTGCGTGAATAAAAAAATGAAATAAATATAAAAGAGATGCTGCTTCTTATGAACTGTGTTACTCACTTGTACAACTTGTATAGAAAACACCAGTTCATGGCTTGATTTCTTCTGTTTACCATTTCTCAAAATGATGGGCTGTTTCATTTATATCCTTCAATGGTGACCACTTCTATTAATTTATTTAGACAGGGAGGGCCTAGCTCTGTTGCCCAGGCTGGTAGGCAGAGAAGCAGTCATGCCACTACAGCCTCAAACTTCTAGGCTCAAGTGACCCTCCCATCTCAGCTTCATGAGTAGCTGGGACCAAAGACACGGGCCCTCAAACCTGAGTAATTTTAAAAATATTTTGTTGAGACAAAGTCCCCCTATGTTGCACAGGCTGGTCTTTAACTCCTGGATGAAGTGATCCTCCTAACTCAGCCTCCCAGAGTGTTGAAATTACAGGCATGAGGAGCTGTGCCAGCCCACATTTATTTTTTCAAAAGGATCATTATGAATGCAGATATTCAAAAATATCTGATATATCTCAATTCACTGCAACTATTATCCTTACTAATATACAAAATGTCCCATCTTTGGTTAGAAGGAGTCCCTTCAGATTGGCCCTTCAGACATGTTGAAATCATCCTAATAATCTTTATAGATTCTTTGCTATCCAGAGTGATAATATATTCCAGGCTCCGTACACATTTCTGGCCTAGACCTGGAATCAGCACTTTCTCCAGGAAGCCTTGTTTCCTTTCATTGGGCAATGGTATTTTGAGACTACAATCTTGGTGCTAGAGGTAAATAGTATAATTTTAAAACTTAAAAAAACTGCCTGGCTCATGTCTGCAATCCTAGCACTTTGGGAGGCTGAGATGGGTAAATCACCTGAGGTCATGACTTTCAGAGCAGCCTGGACAACATGGTAAAACCCCATCTACTAAAAATACAAAATATTAGCCAGGCATCATGGCGGGAGCCTGTAATCCCAGCTATTTGGGAGGCTGAGGCAGGAGAATCACTTGAACCAGGGAGGAGGAGGTTGCGGTGAGGTGAGATTGCGTCATTGCACTCCAGCCTAGGCAAAACCAGCAAAACTCTGTCTCAAAGAAAAAAAAAACAACTTAAAAATAATTAAAAAATTAACAGCTTTATAGAGATATAATTTACAAACTATAATCTACCCATTTTAAGTGTACAATGATGGTGTGTGTGTGTGTGTGTG